AGCCCGCCGTGCTCCACGTCTGGCTGTCCGGGCCCCGGCGCGCCTCCGCCCAGCTCCATCCCCGCCGCCGCTTCGACCCACTCCCCCGCCGGACGACCCCTCACATCCGGGACCTGCGAGCCGCCCGCCCCGCCCAGCCAATCGCAGCCCGCTTCCTCGGCCGCAAGGACACGTAGTCGAGGGGGCTGGGCCGGGCCCGCCAATCAGGAAATGGCGCTCTTCTGCTGGCAGCCAATGGGGACGCGGCATGAGTCAGCGACCGTCGGGTCACAATGGCGGCAGGGGCCAATCGGGAGAGAGGCGAGGGACTCTCGGGCCAATCGCACGTGCCGAGACAGGCGGCTGTCGGTGATGTGCAGTCCGTGCCCGGGGGCATCCATCCGGCGCCTGCGCAGCACGGGTCCAAAGCGCCCAGTGGCGTCTATTGGTGCTGCCAGGTTGCTGCTTTATTCGTCTTTATTATTTATATTATGAGACTCGTATTAATCCACCAGGATATGGATCTCATAAATATGAATATGCATCTCATAATAAATATGAATGAAGAAATATAAATATGCATCTCATAAGAAATACGAATATGAATCTTGTATTTATTATGAGATTCATATTCCTATTTCTTAATTAATATGTTATTATGAGATTCATATTCCTATTTCTTAATTAATGAGATTCATATTCCCATTTCTAATTTTAGGTACAGTTCAAAGCACCCGACACCCTCTGCTCCACCTGGAAACAAGTCACAGGGCAAGCAGAAAAGGCAAGAGAAAACCAAGCAAAAAGAGGACACTTCCTCTGTTTCGGCCTAAAGACACCTTGTTGTTGTCGTCACCATCATCGTACACTCACGGAAAAAACAAATGGCAATTTATTGGGCTTCCAAATGTACAGTACAAAATTTACAATGGCAATTTCACGCGCGACCGTGCTTCCGAAGCAACGGAAAAACCACTGACCGACCCTGTGAAGAGCGGATATTAACTTTCTATGGTAAAATGAACATCTTTCTCTAGACACCGATACGTTCCACGTGGTTTGGAGCACCCGAGGATGCAATTTAAGAGCCGTTGGGAATGGCGTCCTCTTCCATCTCTTCTTCCATCTCCTCTGAGGGGCCTACAAAAGGGACATGGGATAATTGACCACCAGTCTAATTGTAACATTGGAAAAATATTCTACCCAAGTGCCTGTGATACTATTTTCCAATTAGTTTATCTTCTATGGAACAATAAATAGGTAACATACCCCTTATTAATACCACTAAGTATCAGGGAACAAATGATCAAAATTTACCACTGGAGTTAAGTCTTAACAGATGCAAGTGTTCATATTACCCGTCAGAGAGGTGACCCATCACCCCCCACCATCTGACACCAAGGCAACAATTTGAAGACATCTTATTCACCCTCGAGTTGCTATTCTACAAATTACTCTAGTTTTCAACTCTGCCCGCCACAGCATCCGTCTCTCTAGTCTACACTGTCCAAAAAAATAAAAAAGATTGGATTACTTTGCATCCTTATGGTCAGTAACCTATAACAGGTTATGGAAAAATGGGTCTGAAGATTTTAGTCGGAGCGCGCACTGCGGCCAATTTTAATTAAATTTAAACAACACTTCATTATTACACCTCAAATATTTTCTAATCGTGGACCTTAAGATTTCCGCAGCCTTTCACAGCATTTAAAAAGTGGGGCTTTCTTGAGGTATGCACCTTTAAATATCCGTACCTTTGTTATATACATTTAACCAAGGCATTTTGGACAGATTCATAATTTGTGACACCAATTTTTTTTCCCCACCACCTTTAACTCACACTTCCAACCCACTAATGGAGATCATGTATCATGGCTGGGACATGATATTACTGGGTCAGCCTGCCACAAACAGAAAGTTTCAGATGCATAATGACCTGCTTTTCGCTCTCTCCCGGGTATCTGACCAGACTGCAACAAACCCTTAAGTCTCTCCACTTCAGCCAGAGTTGTAGCATTGGCGATGGCATTCTAGAAGATAAAGTGATCAACAATACGATGAGCACACACAACTGACATGTTAACTGCTTTCCAATAACACTTGGTTATCAGAAAGAAGTACAAATAATACTGAAATAAACACAAAGTTATTGACTGCAGTGGGAAGTATGTTGATCAATTCTGTGATCAAACCTAAACTCAGAATAAAGTGTTGCGAAGAAGAAGACAGAGAGATATGGGAAGAAAGTCAGATTAAACTTCACTGAGGTTTGTGCCGTAAGGAGCCCAGAAGAAAGATGATCAGAGCACGATGTTGCTTTGTTGCTTAAGACAAAGCAGTGTGACAAGTTACCAAGTAGGGAGCATTTTTAATCCAGGACAGTTTCCCTGGTTCAGTTCTCCCTATGCAGTCTACCAAAAAGTTACCTTAATTGCCTCAACATCTCCTGGGGATGGCCCAGCTTTCTTTTTGTCAGTCGGCAAACCAGCACCTGGATTGAAACTTCAAAGAAAAATAAAGACATGTCATTCACACTCCTGTGGAAAATATCTGCTTCTCTAGCTTCCAAAAGCTAATGCTTTTGGAAGCATTTTATTCAATCAAGTGTAGTATCTTATCTTTGTTAACAAACTGATACAATGAAGAATTGTCTCCTTCAGAAACACCAGCAAGTCTGTCTCCCCACCTCCCATCCTCTTACCTGCTCCTGAAGAGAAGCAGGCTTATATTGAGATTATTATAGATCAGATAAATGATGAATGATAGATCAGATTTGGATGTTGCTGAACACAGCAGTTCCACTGCATGAATGAGAAGCAAGGTGAATAAAAATAAATTATATTAAAAAACCAAACTATTTCAAATGTCATATTCCTATAGCAACCTGCATAGCAAGGCAAGGGCAATCTTTTTAAAGTTAAATGAAGAAAAAAAAATACTAACTAGCAAATATTTGCTGCCAAAAAAGACAAGTTTAAACCAGTAACTAGTGCAAGCACTCAGCTACACACGTCCACCCAAAGTTGGCTTAAGTGCTAAATCAGATTTATACTCTATTAGCCTATTTGCAAGTACAGAGAGACTGTGTCCTTTGTTTTAATGTATTCAAATAGTTCAGTTTAATCAATTGCTGGTTCTAAAACCTTCATGCAATAAGAGAAGGCTCAGCTTAACTATGGTAACTAACACTATGTTAATTTAATAAGCCAGCAGACAATCTTTATGTATCCAGTATATTTAAAAAGTAGTCTTATTTAACTGAAAGTTTTAAAATCTTGATTCACAAATGCCAATTTTCATTCAGTTTGATATGAATGAAAAGTACAAAATAGTAATCTAACTTTTATGTACAAATTAGGAAACGGAATAAATATATTCCGCTATCTAGCTGCTTAAATAAATGTGCATATGTACAGCATAGCCTCTTTGTTAGAAACATAGTACTACTAAGTTTAAAGGCTGTATTTAGTTGCAAATCAATGCATTTTAACAATCACTATCCAATGAGAATCAAGTTATTTTTTATGCAAATAACCAGAAGTACTAAAAATAAAATGCAAAACAGGAGTGTTTAATAAAAAGAGTCAGCTACTCAAATCCACACACCCTGGCCAGATATCACTTCTTTAAAATATTCTGAGCTGTATTCACCACCATCCAAAGCGAGGATGCTCAGAACTACCATATCTGGCAAAGCACTACCAGAAATGTTAGGACATCCAGCCCACGACTGACATTTCAGTTTACTTTTTTGCCGAGCCCTGCAAACACTGACTGAGGTGGTGTTTCTGAAGGGGAATGCCAGTTTAAATTGGTTATCTTTTATCTTACGTTTTTGTTCTCCTGGCAATATCCTTTGCAAGTTGTGCACCCCGTTTGCCCTTGAACATTTTCTCTGCCTCCTGACGCTCCTACAGTGATACCACACACACACACAAAGTTAATTTAAGCAGGAACATTAGGTATATTTTGCATAGCTTCTTCCTTTAAAAGAAGGCTTCTTTGTCTCGTTTGCATCAGAGCACCTTGGCATCTGGACCAGATTTAAGAACAAGCATTTGAACTTACTGTCAAAATGCTTAGACTTGATGAATATCAGCCTAATGTTCTTAACACAAGGAAATGTTTCCCACCCATTTGTCTTCACAGGGACTCCTTATTTCTTCTTTCAAAGACCTGCGTGTCTATTTAGGGCACCAAGAGTGGCAGAGAAGAGCAAAGCATGTACAATAGGCAAAGCTACAAGACATAATTAAACCAGATATTTCTTTAAATCAATGAACTGGTGAAAGAAAAACAGGTCCAAAGTATGCACGTTATTCGGTACTTAGTTAGATACAAATGAAATTTACAACTATGGAAAAAGCTGAGATTGGACCACAGAAGTTTCAACAAAACAGGAACAAATATCTGCCTCAGAGCCTTACAGCAAAGAGGCTAGGAAAATACTAGACTTACTTTTAGCTTTACTTTCTGGAAATCCAACACTCTGACTTGCGGGACCTTGTGAATTACATACAATCTGTAATGTTTCTTATTTGTCACAGGATTCCTTAATACGCTACAAAGAAAATATTATGAACAGAATCTGAATAGGAGAAAATACTGTCTAAAGTACTTATTGTAGAAAGTCCTCGCACACTAACAAACAAACAGACAGTCCACCCAATAAATGCAGAAACAAAACCTTGTTCTTGATCCCTATGAAAACAACACAAAAGTATTATGAGCAGAGATTGGTTTACTAGCTTGATGTGTTTTACTGCAAATTATAACAAAGAACCATCTCAACCACCTTCTAAAATGAAAATAAAGACTAACTAATTGTATACTATGTTTCTAAAATGCACAAAAAGCTGTTTCAATTGTATTTCTCACTCTGCATTATGATGATCTTCTAAGGATTACTGAAAAGCATGATTTATATTTAGACTGAAGTATTTTGTAAGAAAAAAAATCTAACAGATAACATAGCACTCAATGTAAATGTAACAGCTCATTTCTATTTAGTTTGATAGCCTTTTGGCAATTTGAGAGCTCACTCATCAAAATTTATGCATCTTTAACCAATTTAAAGCTGTAGTTAACCATAAGGAAATATACAACGCAATATAAAAAAATCTATTCAAACAAATTAAGATTTCATACCTCAGGTAAGTCAGTGATTTAA